AAAAAAAAAAGACCATGGCTTGGGTCAAGCGCACCTTAGACCTCAAAGTAATATTCTTATTTCTCCACACTCTAAAGAGGTCTTTACAGCAGATTCACCCAATGCACTGTGTCATCTGATCCCTCGACTGCTGCCTCCATGACTAGCGACTGTGGATTCCAGCAGACAAACTCTTCTACAACTTCACCGGTTTCTCCACTTATCTTGATGTCACCTGTCGCCCCAGTTGTGAGGATTTTGGTCTTCTTTATATTCAGCTGTGATCCGTACCGAAGGCTGCAACCCTTGATCTTCATCAGCAAGTGCCTCAAGGCCCCCTCACTGTCAGTAAGCCAGGTTAATAAGCCTTCCTCTAATCCTGATGCCACTTCCTCTCATGTTGTCCAGCGTCTCCAAGTGTCTGCTCAGCATACAGAGGAACAAGTGTGAGAGGATACAACCCTGACGCACACCTCTCCTGATGTTAAACCACGCAGCACCCCTTGTTCTGCTCACACAACTGCCTCTCGGTGCAGGTCCAAGTTCCACACGAGCATAATTAAGGGTGCTGAAACTCTCATTCCTCTCAGGGTTATCTATAGTGTGTTATGATCCACAAAATCAAATGCCTCGGCAGAGTCAATACGCACAAGTAAACATCTCTCTGGTACTCTCTGCTTTCAGCCAAGATCCATCTGACATCAGTCATGATACCCCTTGTTCTACAGCCTCTTTTGAATCTAGCCTGAACCGTTAAGTGGACCAGTTGTTGGAAGAACATCAGCGAAATTTTACTTGCATGTGACTTAATGATACTGTTCTAGCATTTGAGCATTTTGTTGGGTCACTTTTCTTCCAGTCAGTTGACAAAGCAGCTGTCTTCCAACTCTCCTGGCATAGACGAGTGGGTGCTTCCCGTGCTTCATCCGCCTGTTGAAACATTTCAACGAGTATTCCATCAATTCCTGGAGGCTTGTTTTTGGCGCATGCAACTTCTTCCCGCAGCACCATTGGTTCGTGCGTATAGCTACCCCTGAGCCGGTTAGCTATTGAACAGTTTTGGTTTAGTGAGTGTGTATTCTCCCATCTTCTCTGATGCTTCCGGCATCATTCAATACTTTGCCCACAGGCTCTTTCAATATTGCAACTTGAGGCTAGACTTTTTTCCTTAACCCTTTCAGTTTAAAATATGCCGAGTGTTCTTCCCTCTCGGCCTCCTCTCCGGGTCTTGACACATTTCATTATAGTATCTGAATTTGTCTTCTCCAGCTGCCTGAAATTTTCTATTCAGCTCTTTGATGCCATTGTTTCTTCCATTTACATTAACTACTCTACAAGTAAGAGCAAGTTTCAGAGCCTCTTCTGAGATCCACTTTGAACTTTTCTTTCTGTACTGTTTTTCAAATGACCTTTTGATTTCTTCAAGAATGAGGTTCTTGATGTCTTCCCAACAGCTCATAGGGTCTACTGTTAGGAGTGTTCAAGGGGTCAAGTCTGTTCTTGGGATGTTCTCAAAGTTCAAGTGGAATAGCCTCAGGGTTGTATTTTGGCTCTCATGGACTTGTTTTAATTCTCTTCAGCTTCAGCCTGGTTTTAGCTGCTAACATTGAACTGCTCCATCAGCTTTTCCCACAAATGTAGTCACTTTGGTTTTTGTGTATTTCTTTGGAGAC